TTTTAAAAAATGTTCTTAATGTTATATCTTTCAATATCTATGCCTCAGGACAAAACCAGAAAGTAAATGTATGGAGAAAGGGAGTTTTAGAATAGTGAGACTCAAGATATTTATAGTATCTTTTTATTCTCTTATATAACAGAAACAAATTTTATTTAAATAAACACAAATTAGACTGCTCAGAGCACCCCGTCCTCTTGCACATACCTGGGAGCTCTCTTTTCCAGAAAGACATCTATCTTGTTTTCTGCTAATCTGACCACAGCCATTCTAGTGTTGAAGTGATCCATTTGAGTAACCTGAGACTCTTAAGATCAGATGTCTCACTGGCACCAGGTCATGGTCGGAGCTTTCAAGTAAGCTATGAAACCCTCAGGTAGCTAAGGGCTCACTTCCCCAGGTTATCATTAGGAACCTCAAAATAGCAGTATCCTCTCTACACACTGCCAGCAACACTTTTAGATTCACTCCTTCCTGACCCTCAACATTACTCAAACATTGCTCCTATTTAACTGGCAACCTTTCCTTTCCCCTGTCTTCTCCCCATCCCACCTAATCTAACTCTCCACTCCACCTTCACCTAACACACACACATAAATCAATCATTCCATTTACTCTATCTCCCACTCCATCCCCAATTAAAAAAAAAAAAAAAAAACCACACTGCAGATTTTGTGTCAGAAATTCTCTTGGACTAAGATTCTTCTAACACCTGCAGTATTTTAAAAATTCAGCTATTGATACAAATTCCTTAAAACACACACGATGAAAGCTTTAAAAGCAGGAGATAGGGCCCAGCGCTGTGGCACAGTGGGTAATGCCTGTGCCTGCAGTGCTGGCATCCCATATGGCTGCCAGTTCGAGTCCCGGCTGCTCCATTTCCGATTCAGCTCTCTGCTATGGCCTGGGAAAGCAGTAGATGGCCCAAGTGCTTGGACCCCTACACACATGTGGGAGACCCAGAAGAAGCTCCTGGCTCCTGGTTTCGGATCAGCCCAGCTCCAGCTGTCGGGGCCATCTGGGAAGTGAACCAGCAGGTGGAAGACCTTTTTCTCTGTCTCTCCCTCTCTCTGTAACTCTCTCTCTCTCAAATAAATAAATTTCATCTTTAAAAAAGAGAGAGACAGAGACAGAGACAGAGACAGAAAGAAAGGCAGGCAGAACGACAGAGAGAGAGACAGAGATAAACACAGGAGTTCTTCCATCTACTGGCTCGCTCCCTGAATGCCCACAACAACCAGGGCTGGGCCAGGCTGAAGCCAGAATTCCATCCAGGTTTTCCATGTGGGTGGCAGGGGCCTAAGCACTTGAGCCATCACCCACTGCCTCCCAGAATGTTTTCATAGGAAACTGGATCAGAAGTAGAGGAGCCAGGACTAAACCAGCATTCTAATATGGGACACAGGCATCACAAGCACCACAACACCCACCTGACATGATTTTATTGCTAAGGTTTTTTTCTCCAGGGATACGAGCATAAAACCACTTAGCTATGAATGCTATTTTGAGATAGTTTCCACATCTTTGCTTATCTAAATTCTACCTCCTCTTCAAGTCTCCAGTGCAGTTTTTGCCTTCTTTATGATGTCTTAGTAATGGCTAAAAATTTTTGAGCACTCACTATATGACAGGTACATTGGTGTCTACATACCTAGCAAATGCATATTAACTCATCCCTGTGAGGTATTATTTTCTTATTTTACAGACAAGGAAACAGAAAAGCACAGAGAGATTCTAAGTAGTTCTCAGGTTACACAGCCAGTTAAGTGACAGACTCAGGATTTGAACTCAGGTAATCTGATTCTAGAGGCTGTGTTCTTACTCACTATGTTACATGACCTCTTCCTTCCTTTACACCTAAGAGCTCTCTTCTTTCCACTGCCCCTGTTACATAGGCCCCACAGGAAGTTTACGATATTCTCTGCACTCCTCCTTGTTTTCTTTCATGTGTGCTTGCACTTGCTCCCCAACTAAATTATAAATTCACCGCAGGCAAGGCAACAATGACATTTGCTTCTTAACCTAACTTCTAACATACGGCTATGTAGAAAATACGGAATAAACCAGAGTCCTTCTAAAAGCTTGCTTAAAATAGAATTAAAAGATGTCTATTTTGATGCAATAGCTTTTTACAATTTTCATTTTCTATGATCTTTAAAATTTTTAATATTATTTTTACTTATTTGAAAGGTAGAGAAACAAAGACAGGCAAGCAGAGAGAGAGAGATCTTCCATTTACTGGCTCACTCCCCAAACACCCACAATAGCTAGGGTTGGGCCAGGCCAAAGCCAGGATCCAGGAAGTCCATCCACACCTCCCTTGTGGGACAGGGACTCAAGAACTGGAGTCATCAGCTGCTGCCCACCAGAGTGCACATTAGTAGGAAGGTGGAACTGGAAGCGGGGTAGGATGTGGGGGTCCTAAGTAGTGTTTTAATCACTGTGCCAAATGCCATTCCTCTATTAACTTTTTGAAGTACTCTTATACATTTCTTAATTTTTTTAAATCACTGGCAATTTCTGTAATATTATCTTTAATTTTGAAATGTAAAATATCATTTAAAAATAAAATATGAATGCGGTATGATAACAAGGTTCTAAGAGGGAACACTGGGCATGGTCACATCCTTGCTGCAAACCCTGTCCCTCCCAAGGAACATGAAGTCACAGGCTATGAATCAGCAAAATTACTTTAACACCTGAAGGACAGCTCATGCCATCAGTGTCAGATTTAGCATTACTAAAGTTAGGAAACTGACTGCTTGCATTTATTTTTCTTCTTACTCAATGCATCTCCTCCTGGTGAGTCATACCTATAAAACTGACTTTCCATTTCCTAAACGAGAACTAACACTTAAGGAAAATCAAATGAAATTTTTTTTCTGTATATGCATAACCCGTAAGAGGCAACCTGTGCTATCAAGAACAGCACATACAAGGAGTAAAATACTGAAATCGTAAAGGCTTCCACGCCTAGCAAGTAGAATTTTAAATAGTGGTTTTCAATCCATCAAAATGAGAAAATAGTGACTAGCATTGGGGCACAGCTGGTTAAGCTGTTGCATGTAATGCCCAGAATCCCACATCAGAATTCTGATTTGAATCTCAGCTACTCCACTTCTGCACTTCTGATCTAGCTTCCTGGTAATGCACCTGGGAAGGCAGCAGATGGTGACTCAAGTACTTGGGCCCCTGCCATCTAGGATGCAGGTCCCGACTTCTGGCTTCAGCCTGGCCCAGACCTGGCTGTTGTAGCCCATTTAGGGAGTGAACTTTCAAATAATTAAATCTTTTTTTTTTTTTTTTTTTTTTTTCAGGCAGAGTGGATAGTGAGAGAGAGAGAGACAGAGAGAAAGGTCTTCCTTTGCCGTTGGTTCACCCTCCAATGGCCGCCACAGCCAGCGCCCTGCGGCCGGCGCACCACGCTGATCTGAAGGCAGGAGCCAGGTGCTTCTCCTGGTCTCCATGCGGGTGCAGGGCCCAAGCACTTACTTGGGCCATCCTCCACTGCACTCCTGGGCCACAGCAGAGAGCTGGCCTGGAAGAGGGGCAACTGGGAAAGAATCCAGCGCCCCGACCGGGACTAGAACCCGGTGTGCCGGTGCCACTAGGTGGAGGATTAGCCTACTGAGCCGTGGCGCAGGCCAATAATTAAATCTTAAAAATGAGAAAATAAAAATTGGAGTTCCAAGACATAACCTGTCTGGAATTACATTTTAGTGAACCCATCTAACTAGGCAATTCAGAGTTAACAAAAAAAAAAACAACTTTATACTAGATATTAGGAACTGCCACAGACCATAAGAGCAAACACCCCTAAAAAAACCAGAACCATTAACCAAATATTCATTAAATTCCTTGGCTATAAATCTAACATCAGCAAAATCTAAAGGAGCACAGACCTTAAGAAAATTTTCAGAGTATTTTAAAGGAGAGAAACTTAAAGCTCTATGAACTTTTTATTGAACACCATTGTTCAAAACACTGCTACTACAGTTTCAATTTACACATAAAATTGGAAACAGCAAAATATTTCTGCTAATTCCCCAGGCACATTAGCTATCTCTGGAAAAAGCTAATGTGATCCTGAAACACAAAGAAATTTTGATTAAGAGATTTAACTATTTTTTTTTCTTTTAACATCCATCAGCTTTCTAGAATCAAGGAAGCTGCATAGCAATAGGTTGTATACACAGAGAAAGAAAAGCAAGTGAGTATTTGCTGTAGGTTGAACCCGTTTGCCCTGTCTGGGTTCCCATACAAACAGCATAAATGCCACCAAATGGCACACTTAAAAATGGTTAAAATGGTCATAAAATAAATAAGACAATCAAACAGGAGATTTTAGGTCAATGGACAGAGGGAAAAAAAATCCTGAATTTAATACAAAATTAAAGGGTAAACAGTAATAACCTATTTAAATCATAATCAAGATTTGTATTTTTCCCAAAAATACAGATGCCACATTTCATAACTAAGTAGAAATTAATTATATGGGTTTGTCTTGGGATGTGAAAGACAAGTAAATACTTTATCCTTGACCTATACCAAACTACCATGTTGCCCAGAGGTAAACTTTAGAAACCAGCACTGTACAAGGTTGCGGATTGTGCTTCATTATGACTTTGAGAACCACTCATCCTGGCCTGCTCCTCACCTGTCAGGCCAATAAAGCAGAGTCTGAGGACTATTATTTTAAAAACAGCACAAGCTTTTTATTCTCACCCCATATACACAATAAAGAAGCAGAAAACAGATATGGAACTTAAAACAGTGCAGCTTGAGGCTGTTACTTTCTTCTAATCAAGAGTTTATCCAAAGTAACATACCAAAGCCCCAGCGACTGAAAACATAAATCTTTCCAAGGGCTACTGGTCCACATTTTCTTACACATTCAGTTAAAAGTTAAATGTTTTGCTGCACTGAGAAGTGAATGGCTACCATGATTTTAACGCTCACACATTTCCTAAAGAATCCCCTACAGCCAAAGAAAAACTTACCTCTGCGAAATGTGTGGATGTGCTATTGTCTATCCGGCTGCCACCACCACCTAAAAAACTAAAGAGAAAAAGGAATGAGTGCCGATTCTATTCCCAGGAACAAGCTACCCTCCCAGAAGCTAAATATAGAATGGCAGAACAAGAAAGCCCAATAAGGAAAAATAACTCATCCCAACACAACACCTTCAAAGGAAATGATGAAGAACTGGCAAAGTGGACCAATCTACAAAAAAAAAAAAAATCATAACAAAAGCACAAAGTCAAGGCTATATCAAATGAAAGCTATATTAAAGGAAGGAGGACCCACTGCCAGCAACACAATTCAAATCTGACCTAGCTTCAAAGGGGCTGTGATAACAAAATAATGTCGCATAAAAAAAACAGTCAACCACTAAATGTATATAACATTTGAGGTTACAATAGCTAGGATTTTGGGGGAATAATCAAATGAAAGGGCTCTGGTATTCTGCATTTAGTCCATTATAAAAGTAGTTCTTCTGACAGTTTATCCTACCTAAACTTCAAGGCCTGGCTCAAATCCTACCTCCTCCACTAAGTCTTTTCTGATCTCACCAACCAAATGAGACTCCACCATACCCCCCTGCACTCTCACTTTGATTCTACTTTATACTATAAATACCTATGGGTTGTCTCACCCATGTCAACCCCTTTCCATTCTTTCATAAATACAAATTTAAAGGGCAAAGATCTCAAATACTCATACTCGAACAAAAGAGTGTTTGTTACATTACACGGCACACTATCACCTCTGAAAATCCTACAATACCATATCCTGTACTGATAACTCCATATCACATATACAAGTGATAAAATAACTACCTATTCCAAAAGACATTGAAGAGTGGGGAGACGTAAACTCCACTGTTCCCATGAAATTTGCAAAGACGAAAAGAAGCTGGGGAATGCTTCAGGGGAAAGGAGGCAGAAATAATCACAAGAACTGCTGGACAGCTTTGAGAGATACACGCATAAGTATACAACATATATGCAAACACAATCTAATGATAAAAAGTCCACAAACTACTATAAGTAACTTTGTTTTTAAGGATTACGAAACCAAATCCAAGCACTGTGCTGAGCTCCTGGAGGAAACAAACACACCCTGGTTAGTCAAACCAAACAGGAAAACGCAAAGCTAATGCCATTCATTGTGTGATCATCCTCAGGCCTTATTCTCTATAATTAGAAGCTATTTAATACTTGTACTTGTTTCAGAAGTTGAAGATGCTTTTGTAAAAATCACTTCAGGTGTACAGCAGCCCAAAAGCAACTGTACATTTATTCTAAATAACCAACTGGAGTACTGTATACCATAAAAACCAAAGTTGAATGACTGTGTATCTGTCTCACTGCTCAAGCCTAGACAAAGTTCCTGAGCTCTTCTACCCTTTTTTTTTTTTTTTTTTTTTAATTTGAAAGATAGAACTACAGACAGTGAGAAAGAGAGAGACAGAGAGAAAGGTCTTCCTTCCGTTGGTTCACCCCCCAAATGGCCATGACGGACAGAGCTGCACTGATCCAGAGCCAGGAGCTTCTTCCTGGTCTCCCAGGGGCCCAAGCACTTGGGCCATCCTCCACTGCCTTCCCGGGTCACAGCAGAGAGCTGGACTGGAAGAGGAGCAACCAGGACTAGAACCGCCATCCATGTGGGATGCCAACGCCGCAGGCGGAGGACTAACCTAGTGAGCCACTGTGCTGGCCCCTCTTCGACCTTCCTTTACTGCCTGGTTTCAGGGATTCAGCTATGCTAACTGAAATCATCAACTCTATTGTTTGATGTTCTACTACCCCTGAAACTCCCTCAGCATTTCTTTTCCTTAAGATCTCTTTATATTTTAACAGCTTATCATAGAGAAGGGATAATAAAAACAGCCACATTGTTCTGAGAAATGTTACAAAGCTTAAGAAAACTTACAAGGTGCCTCTCTAGAGGAATGTTTAGTAGTAGATGGGGCTCATTACCCAATATTTACATGCAAGAACTTCTTACTAACTTTTACCATCAACTACTTATCACTCTAATTGCTAAACAATCAACAAATGCTTATAAAGTTTATAGAGAAGGGAATCGCATGCTGCCTCTACAACACTGATTTTAAGGGAAAAAAATTCACTCATTTAAAATACTGATAATGTCTTTCAAAACACACAATCCTTGCATTTTGGTAATTATTACCAGTAACAGGACAACCTTTGGTAGACAAAGGCACAAATAAAAGAATGAGTAGCTCGAGTGAGAAAATAATCCACAGAATTCATTTTTCCCTGCTGGACAAAGATTCATCCTCCAATTAATCATTATCCTCATTTACAACTGTACTTTGTATAAAAGTGTTATCTGCCTAAAGAAACCAGAAGTATTATTAAAAACTTAAAAAAAAAAAAAAAAAAACTGCTCCTGTACAACTGATACACTCTTTAACACGTGCAGAGCATACATGCCTGAAATAAGTATTTGGTGCAATTATAACAGCACAAATAAAAAGCTATCCCAAGTTAGCAAGCCACTTACACAAAATTGCTAATTTTGCATCATGCTACACTTATAGGTTTAGTGTTGGTACTGCGTTACTTAAAGCCAAAATTATTACATCAACATTGAACTGTCTAGACCCAACTAGATATCATGCCGCATACTGCCCTAGAAGCTCCAGCTCATTTACACATATAATCACCAATCATCAACAGAGTAAAACTAATAGTACATACTGTAAAACGTGTAGTTTTCCCTGGTTGTGGAAAGGACCTTCAACTTTAGATTCTGCCAACAGCAACAGTAAAGGAATTATCTATTGCCATTAAAATCCCCAAAATCACTCCTAGATTAAGACATTCCAGTTACAGATTCTTTTTAAGCAAGGAGTACTTCTACAATTGTCTAACAGTGTTTAATCAGACAGCCCCCCCCCAAGAAAACAAATATGCCATTATGTCTACCAAAAACAAAAAGACCAGTAGCAATATCAATACCATTCTACCATTTATTTTCATAGCTTTACTCATAATAACCAATAAGGAATACATAAAATATTGTCACTTTCTAAAAGTATTTCCCCTTTTATCAGTTTTATACATTTCTTTGCTAAGGACAAAGAGAACAAATTTAAACCAATACCAACCCAAATGTTAATTTTATGGTGGCAAATGGCATAAGTTGGACAGCAATAATATTAATAAGAACAAAGGACCCAAGACTTACAAAGGTAGAGTAACAACTCAGCTTCCTAGCTAGAGCAGCCTGTTTACCTTGCTAGTCATGTTGATCAGAAGTCACTTCCCAGCCCAACAAAGAAATTTAATAGTGATACACCTTCAGAGTTGTCAGGTAACACAGCAGTCACTAAAAAACCAACCAATAATCTAAGAGAACCCCAAATCTCAAACTAAATGAAATTTACCAGTTTCACTCTGATATGGTACAGGGGTTCCCAAGGAATGCAACACATAATCAGGAACAGTGGACCTGCCCATCCCTACTGTTGTATCACTTTCCAAACTGTCCCACTTATCCTTCCCTTCCCCTCCCATTCTCCTGCCCCTTCTTGTGTATGCATGCCCTCCCCTCACGCCTCTCCCCTCCTTTCTCTCTCTCCCTCCCACCTTAATCTCAGCACAGTGTAAGTTATAAAACAAATGTCTACCAATTCAATAATTTTATTAACGGAATGCCTGATTTATTCCTGAGCTTGTACAATACCTGGAATCATCTGTCACTTCTTCAATAAAGCCTGATTCACATCTGGGACAAATATATTCCTATAAAAGAAAGGAAGAAAGAAATAAAATTTTTCATTAGAAACCTAAATCAGTAGTTCCACAATAACACACAGCATAGAGCTAATTTTCTGAAATGACTACACTCTGACAAACACAAAATTCCATAAGATGTTTGCAGAGGGGCGGTGCCACGGCGCAGTAGGTTAATCCTCCGCCTGCAGTGCCTGCATCCCATATGGGCGCCGGTTCTAGTCCCGGCTGCTCCTCTTCCAATCCAGCTCTCTGCTGTGGCCTGGGAAGGCAGTGGAGGATGGCCCAAATGTTTGAGTTCTTGCACCTGCATGGGAGACCAAGAGGAGGCACCTGACTCCTGGCTTCGGATCGGCGTAGATCCGCCTGTAGTGGCCATTTGGGGGGTAAACCAACAGAGGGAAGACCTCTCTCTCTCTCTCTCTCTCTCTCTCTCTCTCTCTCTCTCACTGTCTAACTTTATCTGTCAAAAATAAATAAACAAAAGACGTTTGCAGAATGGTTTCATAGCTACCTAAATGGTTCCTACTGAGAGATCGAAGAGGGAAGGTCAAGGGCCGGAGTTCTGGTGTAGTGAGTTAAGCAGCTAGCTGCAAAGCCAGCATTCCATATGGGTGACTATTCATATCCAGCTTCTCTACTTCCAATCCAGTTACCTGTTAATGCCCTGGGAAAAGCACCAGAAGATGTTCCAAGTGTTTGGGCCCCTGCCACCCACACGGGAGACACGTAGAAGCTCCTGGCTCCTGGCTTCGGATCAGCCCAGCTCTGGCCACTGCGACCACCTGGGGAATGAACCAGTGTTTGGAAAGTCTCTCTCTCTTTTTTAAAGATTTATTTATTTATTCATTTGGAAGGCAGAGTTACACAGAGGGAGGAGAGGCAGAGAGAGAAGTCTTCCATCCACCGGTTCACTCCCCAATTGGCTGCAATGGCCGGAACTGCACTGATCCGAAGCCAGAACCAGGAGCTTCTTCCCAGTCTCCCATGTGTGTGCAAAGGCCCAAGGACTTTGGCCATCCTCTAATGCTATCCCAGGCCATAGCAGAGAGCTGGATCAGAAGTGAAGCAGCCAGGACTCAAACCTGCAACCATATGGGATGCCAGCACTGCTGGCAGTAGCTTTATCCGCTATGCCACAGTGCCGGAACCATAAATAAATCTTTAAAAAAAATAAACAAAATAAAGACAAAATATCAAAGATTTCTTTTTTAATTAGGATGATTTATTTTTTAACTAGATTAAATTTTACATCTAATTTGCTCATCAAATCTAATGAAAAAGCTCTTACTTGTTCCCACTGATTTATTTATTTTTTAAAAGCATATTTATTCATTCTGCTGACAGAGGCTTCACTTGTTTTCCAAATCTTGCCCATGTTTTTTTTTTTTTTTTTTTTTTTTAAGATTTTATTTATTTTATTTTGAGAGGTAGAGTTATAGACAGTGAGAGGGAGAGACGGAGAGAAAGGTCTTCCTTTTACTCCCCAAATGACAGCAATGGCTGGAGCTGCGCCAATCCGAACCCAGGAGCCAGGTGCTTCTTCTGGGTCTCCCACACAGGTACAGGGGCCCAAGGATTTGAGCCATCTTCTACTGCTTTCCCAGGCCAGAGCAGAGACCTGGATCGGAAGTGGAGCGGCCGTGACTAGAACAGGTGTCCATATGGGATGCCAGCACCACAGGCGGAGGATTAACCTACTGCGCCACAGCACCAGCCCCATTTATTTATTGATTGATTGATTTTTAAAGATTTATTTATTTGGGGCCGGTACTGTGGCGCAGTGGGTTAACACCCTGGCCTAAAGCACAAGCATCCCATATGGGCCCTGGTTCGAGATCTGGCTGCTCCTCTTCCGATCTAGCTCTCTGCTATGGCCTGGGAAAGCAGTGGAAGATGGTTCAAGTCCTTGGACCCCTGCACCCACGTGAGACTGGGAAGAAGCTCCTGGCTCCTGGCTTTGGATCAGCACAGCTCCGGCCATTGAGGCCAATTGGGGAGTGAACCAGCAAATGGAAGACCTCTCTCTCTCTTTCTTTCTGCCTCTCCTCTCTCTGTGTAACTCTGACTTTCAAATAAAGATTTATTTATTTATTTGAAAGGCAGTCACTGAACCAGAAGGGGAGTGAGAGATCTATCCTCTGGTTCAGTCTCCAAATGGCTACAACTACAGGGGCTCTCCCTTGGACCATCTTCTGCTACCTTCCCAGGCACATTAGCAGGGATCTGGATTGGAAGTAAAGGAGCCAAGATTTGAAAATGTACCTCATGTGGGATGTCGAAGTTGCAGATGGATGCTTAACCTGCTGTACCACAACACCAGCCCCTCCCATTGCTTTAAATATGGTACCTGTATATGCCAACAACTTCCCAAGGTACAGCTTCATCCCAGACTACTTTTCTGAATTCCAGATTCATTTATCATAAGTATTTTCCCTCATGAGCGCACCCACACCTGCTCGCGCTCCCTCCTCTTCCCCCTCCCCCACCCCATTTCATATACAAACACATGCACCACTGGGAGACGGCACACCAGTTTGCTCCTACTGGAACCTGGGATTCATTCCTGATACCTCCCTTTCTTCCACATCCCACCATCAAGTCCAGGCTCTGCTGCCACCACCTTAACCAGTCAGTACTTGCTGAGCACTGAGTACCTTCCCTGTTAATTTGGGGGCTGCTTTTCCTTTAGTCATTTCCTGTCTGTCCTGCATACTGAAGTCAGAACAGTATTTTTTAAAAATGTAAAACACATCACATATTTCTCCAGCTTAAAATCTTTCAATTAAAGGCTGAGTATCCTTTATCTTAAATGCTTGGGACCAGTTGTATTTCAGATGAGGGTTGTGTTTTTGTTTTTTGTTTTGGGAATATTTGCATATAGATTAGCCTTCAAAAAAAGTCATGGAAAATATATATCCTGAAAAAATCATGCATGGGGACCGGCGGCTCCGTGGCACAATGGGTTAACGCCCTGGCCTGAAGCGCTGACATCCCATATGGGTGCCAGTTTGAGACCCAGCTGCTCCACTTCTGATCCAGCTCTCTGCTGTGGCCTGGGAAAGCAGTAAAGATGGCCCAAGTTCTTGGGCCTCTGCACCCGCGTGGGAGCCCTAGAAGAAGCTCCTGTCTCCAGCCATTGCGGCCAATCGGGGAGTGAACCATAGGATGGAAGACCTCTCTCTCTCTCTCTTTCTCTCTGCCTCTCCTCTCTCTGTATAACTCTTTCAAATAAATAAATAAATCTTAAAAAAAATAAATCATGCATGGATGTCAAAACTTTTTTGCATCAAAATAAGTTTATCTTTTCTTTTTTAAGATTTATTTATTTATTTATCTGAAAGTCACAGTTACAGCCATTAGCTGGCATGCCAGTGCTGGAGGCCTGTGCTTTATTCCATTGCGCCACACCGCTGGTGCCTCCTCTCTCTCTGCCTCTCTGTAACTCTTTAAAATAAATAAAAAATATTTTTTTAAAAAAAGTAAATCCCAGAGAACATACAATTTCACCCACAAAAACTGGTGATGTCCCCTTGAGAGACAAGCACATTAAAAAAAAAAAAAAGACACTGGTTGGGATGCCCACATTCCATTCCACAAAGTCTCAATGCGAGTTCCAGCCCTGCTCATTTCCAACTTTCTGCCAATGCAGGAGATGGGAATAGCAGGTCATGGCTCAAGCAGTTGGGTCGCTGGCACTCACGTGCAAGACCTGGACTGAGTCCTGGCCCAGTCCTGGTCATTGCCCTGGCCAGTCCTGGACATTGCAGGCATTTGGGAAGAGAACCAACAAAGGGGAACTTGGTCTGTTTCTGTGAAATGTGTCCCCCTGCCTCTCAAATTAAATAAATAAATAAATTTTAGAAATTTCTAAATTATTATATTTTCTTTACAGATAAAAGAAATAAAACTATTCTGAATGTTGTTGTTCTTGATATAAATAAGTAACTATAAAACAAACAAATCCCACAGCTGTGGTCTATCCCTCCTGCAAACATTACAGGAAATACACAGAATTTTTTTAGAATTTATAAGCTCTTTGGGGCCAGCATGTGGCCTAGCAGGTAAAACCACCCCCTGAGATGCCAGCATCCCATATGGACACCAGCATGTCCCAGTTGCTCCAGTTCTGATCCAGCTCACTGCTAATATTCTGGGAAAAGCAGCAGTAGATGGGCCAAGTATTTGGGCCCCTGCCACCCCTGTGGGAGACCTGGAAGAAGCTCCTGGCTCCTGGCTTCAGCCTGGTCCAGCCCTGGCTGCTGAACCACGTTGAACCAGTAGATGAAAGATATCTCTCTCTGTAACTCTGTCTTTTAAATAAATAAACCTTTTTTAAAAATTATATCAGCTGATTCAAACTAGTCTGGAGACAGGATCTTATGAGAAACAAAATAAGATTGGCTACAAGATAACTGAAGGTGAGCTGATAGTTGTTCTGAAGCTGTACATTATGTGGGGTTGTTAAACTATATTTTCTACCTCTTTAAAAAGGTTAATATTATTCTTATTTAAGAGACAACAAGATGGAGAGACAGAGAGAACAGAGGGAAAGTGTATGCATGCTCCCATTAGCTGGTTCAATTTCCAAATTCCCACAGAGGCCAAGACTGAACCTGTCAGAAGCCAGGAGCCAGGAACTCAACTCAAGGCTACCAGATGGGTGAAAGGAACCCAACCACTTGAGTAATCACTACTGTTTCCCAGGGTCCACACTAGCAGGAAGCTGGAGTCAGAGGTCAAAGTCAGGACTCAAATTCAAACACTATGATATGTGACACAGACATCTTAACCACTAGGCCCTACTCCTATTTCTCTGTGGTAGAAATGAAGGGAAGGAAGGAGGGAGGGAAGAAAGGGGACCCATATTATGGCATAGCAGGTTAAGATGTCATTGGTGACACTGGCATTCCTTACTGGAGTGCCAGCTTCCTGCTAATATGCCTGAGAAAGCAGAAGATGGTCCAAGTACTTGCGGCCCTGTCACCAACATAGTAGACCAGGATGGA